TCGACTTTTATTCACAAAGTCGACTTTTCGACTTTTTTCACAGATGATAGTCGAGTTATCCACTTTTTTGGAACAAAATAGTCGACTTCGACTTTTCGACTTTTTTCGACAAAAAGTCGATTGTTCGATTATTCGAAAGTCTATTTATAGAACCCTAATGTGTAGGTGGCAAAGAAGGTATGAAAAGCACAAAATGTTTTGCCGCGAAGACGCGTAGTGTGGACCTCCAGCGTTAAGGTCTAACTAAGTTGTATAGATTATAAGGTGAAGTCATTTCATTTTGGCGCTAATTCATAAAATGTTTATATATGGAGTTTGACAGCTTCGGTTTTGAGAGAGATTTTTTTGACAGTTTTGGGCTAAATTTCCATGAACAAAAAAACAATCAGCTGTTGAAATAACTTTTTTTAATTTACAGTTAGGATTTCAATAGTAGTTAAATATTAATCTTAATTAAGGCTTCAAATAGGTATTACTTAAGACTTAAATTTTAAGAATTTTTGAAATGAAATTCGAATGCTTTACTTTTAGAAGTTAGAGAAAATACAAGAATTAATTCTTTTCACAACCTGTTAAACCAATAAGCAGAACATTTAACCCAGTTTATTTGTAATACATTGAATCAAAGTATATTAATAAAGTAGCGACATCTCTTGTTGTACAACAACATCTACAACAACCACATGTATTTTGTTTTTGGAAAATTTAAGATTGTGTCAAAATAAAATTTCCTTGAAAAACAATGTGAACAAAACATAAATAAAAAATATTACTTTTAAGTTAAAGATATTAACGATTTAATTATATTATTATATATTATACAATTTATTACACTTTTAAACTACTTTAAAACCACTTTTAATTCACTTTTTCAACTTTTCACAAATTTTAACAAATAGCAAAACACAATTTAAAAATGGCGACGTAAACAATGTTAACAATTTTCAAAACAAACTTTGACAATTTGCTTCATTTATCTAGTTTAAAAAAAATAGTCAGCTGTTTAAGTGATGCTACTTTATTAATTTACTTTGCATTGAATGTATACATTTTTAAATTAGCACTTCTTTAAAGACACAGCTGTCTGCGTTCTTTTTTTTTTTTTTTAGAGTTGCTATAAAAGCGCGAACCATAATTATAACACTGATGTTAAGAACATGACTTCTTATTTGGTTTTGAATTGAAAACAATTATTTCTTAATAAAGACAGTTTAATAGTTTAATATATATTTTTTTTAATAATTTATTTTATTTGTTGTAGCTGTATTTGGTCACACACTTTCTAACAAAACAGTTTTTTTTGCGTTATTTTTTTGGTAACGACATAAAAATTTCTCCATCAAACACAAACATTCTTTAAAAAAAAAACTTTTCAACAAGTTTTGTGTCGTCAGTGTTGTGGTTGTTTTGCAACAACAGCCGTTTTAACAACAAAACACAAGTTCTTTACAACATTGTCTGCCCACCTTGGTGTCTTAAAAGAAATTTTAGTTGGCTGTTGGTTTGGTGGTTGGCTCCCATATGAATATTCATTGTTACCAATTAGGTAACACACACGTATGCACACACACACACCCATTCTTGATGCGTCTACTCTCTAACTTTTTAAAGTGTTAAATGTTTCTACGTGTTTTTAAAACTTTTGGTAAATCTGGCCTCAACACATTAAGTCTTGACAAATATTTTTTTAAATAAATATATATTTTTGGAAGAAATATTAAAAATATAGTTTAATAATTTCACTTTCATAGTGGGTTTTAAACAATTTCTGTCTGTCCATCCGTCCCTACTTCCATCAGCCAAATAGTTATGCGTGTAAATATTTATTTAAGTTTTTTGGTTTTAACTTCAAAAGTGTTTATTTGTTAATAACAACAACAACAAATTAATAATAAACATAATAAAGTGGAGAAATTTAATACCTTCTATTTCTATTTAAGGTGCTGTTTTCTTTAGTTGACTTTTAGGGAGTTTCTATAATGTTTTTTTTTTCGTTTTTTTTGCGGAAGTGTGAAAAAAGTGAAATTTTTTTTCTCTACACATACCATTGACCTATTGTCGTTATAACATTAAAATATTTATTGATTTAAAAAAAAAACTTTTAATAACTTTACAAAATGCTTAATTTAAATTTACATTATTTCCTCACTTTAAGTAATTTATGTTGGTTTTTATTTTCTATTTAAACAAAAAAATGCTAATGAGTTTACATAATTACTAATATAAAAAAATGTGTAAATGCTTAAGCTAAAACTTGACAAAACACAAAAAACAAATCATAATTATTATTTAACGTCATCAACACATTCCCCTAGTCATCTTAATTTACCACACCACGAAAACGAAAGTTTGAATATCTAATTATTAAATAAATTCCAATATCCATTTACCAATATACATATGTACATATGTATGTATGTTTTTTAACTGTAATCCCGAAAACCCCTAACTCTTAAATACCCTAATTAAGGTCATTTATCAATTTGATTAGCGTTTTTGTTTATGATTATCTAATCTGTTTTTCCATATAAATAACTGAAGACTCTCCAGCATGTCAATGACTTCCATTCAATCACAATTCATTTCAATTGTCTGATAAAAAGGGGGATTTTTTTTTCTGTGTCTGATTTTAACTAAAAATAGTCAATGCCAGACGTATTTATTAGTTAATTACTTAATAACTAAATTCCAATTCAAATGAAAAACCAATTGAGTCATTAGGTTTTTTTTGGGGGCTGATTAACATGTTGAGGCTAAAGTTTAATATGTTGCTCAGCAACATTTCTTTGTAAAATGTTTCAGAAACAAACTAGATTTTAATGAAATCTAAATTATTGAAAACAAGAGGCAAAAACAAGGCATGTTTCCTTGATGAAAGACCCTCATTTTGGTGTATTGCAATTTCGGGGTAAATAGGTGATACCAGTACCTCTAGTCTGCTGGGACTATAAACTGATGATGTCATTTCACTCCTCGGCTAGTCCTTGGAATGATTTGACATGGGGTCTAACCAGAGCACCACATAATCTGGTACTACGGATGGCCAGTTGCCCGCAGGACTTGTCCTGGCTAGTCAGTTGGTTGAAGTTCCTTCGGAATCCACGTAGTGGCTGTGGTTTAAACCCAAATTCACGTGAAGAGTAACTTGCGGTTAAATGACTGATGCACGGTGAAATCTTTAATTCGGGAAAAGTTCGGTGCTGTTGCCGAATGTCAACAGATACCCCACAGAGGAGTGACTGTGGGAATAAGCGTTGGAAATGAGTTCGTGTTAATTGTATATGATACAGGATGAATGTAGGGGTATACGGAACTCATCCGCCCGTATACTTAGAGAGAGTCTGTATGTTGTTCTCTTATGAATGTGTCGGGTAAATGAGAACCAAATGAAAAACCAATTGAGTCATTAGGTTTTTTTTTTGGGAGCTGATTAACATGTTGAGGCTAAAGTTTAATATGTTGCTCAGCAACATTTCTTTGTAAAATGTTTCAGAAACAAATTAGATTTTAAATAAGTATTTTAATGAAATCTAAATCAATGAAAGCTGTATATAGTCTCAAAGGATCCCCCCGGAGGAGACCCTCTTCTTGGTGTATTGCAATCCCGGGGTAAAGAGGTGATACCAGTACCTCTAGTCTGCTGGAACTATAAACTGGATATGTCATTTCACTCCTCGGCTAGTCCTTGGAATGATTTGACATGGGGTCTAACCAGAGCAGCACATAATCTGGTACTACGGATGGCCATTTGCCGCAGGACTTGTCCTGATACCCCACAAAGGAGTGACTGTGGGACTAAGCGTTGGAAATGAGTTGGTGTTAATTGTATATGATACAGGATGAATGTAGGGGTATACGGGCCTTGCCAACCCGTATACCTAGAGTAAGTGTGTCGGATGTTGTTCTCTATTGAGTGTGTCGGATGAATGAGAAGTTTGCTGGGTTGAATGGTGATGGATGGAAGGTATCTTATACAAGTGATACCATTAAATTTTCCTTCCTTAAAATATTTCAGAGTAAACTCTGTTCATATCAGAATTACCACAGTGTGTCACTGTGATTAAGAACAAAGTCTCATCTTATTTGATGGATTCGTACTTCGGTCTACCGATTACGTCTCTAGGTGCTGTTGTCGACTCAACAGAGGCCATCCCATCTGCGTGGTTGTAAACGGAAGAGATGTTTTTGCATCTCGGGTACTTGAGCAAAGTGCACTTGTACTGGACTGGAACTTCCATATACGTAAATTGCAACATGCGTGTAAGAAGCACAAAGGTGATGAGTCGTCACAAAATGGTGATGAGTCGTCACAGTATGAATGGCCTTATACACAAACGATCTGTCAATATCTAATCAAACTTCAATAGTGGCTCCCTTCATCAATTAAGGTTCATTTAAAGTCTCTAGTTGTGAACCCTATTAAGGTTTCATATAATAGGATCACAATAATGATTCTTTCGTAGCTCTATCTGAAGACCTTATTAAACCTCAATCATTGTTTCATATGTGGCTATATTTTAGTTTCTATAGTGGTTCTACATAAAGTCCTATTGAAACTTCTATCATGGCTCTGCTTGTGATTCCAATTAATATCTAATCTAGGGACTATAAATCTATTTTTGATCCCAATTAAGTTCCAATCATAAGATTGTTTGTTGTCTTTAGTAATTTAGTTCTAACTAAGCTTCAATGAAATTTTTTCAATTGAGGTTCGATATATTACTCATTAAAGTTCAATCGTTCGCTTCATTTGTGATCACAATTAAGCACTAATCTTGGCTTTATTCGTGATCCCAATAATGCTTCAATACTGGTTCTATTTGACATTGCAATTAAGATTTATTTGTTGCTCTATTTGAAGACCTAATTAAACTTTTATTATGAATCTATATGTGATCCAAATTAAGCATTAATGTTCTTTGAGTATCCTAAACTCTATTGTTATTTACTCTCTTTTCTAAATTAACAATATATTAATTATGATGTTTTTCTCTTTCCAGTTTTAGTTGTTTGTCTCTCTCCACACATACAAAAAAAAAAAAAATGAGGAAAACCTTAGTGCTCTTGTGCTTAGCCTTGGCTTGCCTCTCACACACACAGGCTGCTGTCTATAGACGTGGTGATAAAATTTCCGAAAATTTCAAACAATTAGATTTGGCACCCGAGGAAATTGATCCCGATGTAGCTCCCCTATCACATCATCAACAGCAACAACAACAACAACAACAAATCGAAACTGTCGACGAGACAACCGATGAAATTTTAAATGTCAATGAAAATGAAATACTCGATGAGGCGGGTGATAATGAAATTATTGATGAATCAGCTAATGAAATACCACAGTCAGTAGCTACCGTGGCACCTGTTGTAGCCACTACTGTGGCTCCTGTTACCGTAGCCGCCGCCCCTGCTGAGGCTGCAGCAGCTACTCCTGTTAAGGGAGAACCTGAACCTACCGGTTTGGCTAAATACTGTAAATGTAATGAGAATCATTGTGATTGTTGCCGTAACTTCAATTTGCCCTTGATTCCCGTTAAAGGACCTGGTTGCGCTAGAATGACCTATTTGGGTAATGAGAAAATGTCCATCAGTTTGAAATATGGTGATTTGACTTTGGCCAGCAGAACTGTATCCAGCAAGAGAGCACGTCCAATTTGTGTAGGTCTTCCCGGTGGTTACTCACAATTCTGTGGTCGTGTTTATGGTTTGTCCAAGGCTAATGAGAATTTCAAGGCCTGTTTAGGTTTTGAATTGAGAGCTGATGATGAAGTTGAGGCTGCTTTGAGAGTGTCCTGTTTCAAATTTGGGCCAGAAGGTTTGAGAGTAGCTGAGGCCGAACCTTTGCCTGTTGAAACCAACAAGGAGGAAGACGATGATGATGACGACATTTTTGGTTTTGGTGGTTAGTTTGAATGTAGGGAGTTAAGTTAAAGTTTTTATTTATGTTTTTTTTCATTTAAAGCTGGTGATGATGAGGAAGAAGAAGACGATTACAATGAGGATGATGAAGAAGAAGAGGAAGAAGCTGATGATGATGCCGATACCGATAGTGATGCCGAATATGCTGATGATGATGCTGAAGATGAAGCCCCCGCCGATGCTGATTATGGTGGTTTCAGTTTAGCCGGCCTTTTGGATGAATTAGACGATGACGAAGATGAGGAATCCAAACCCAGCGTTACCCCTGTTGTTGCTCCCGCTGATGCCTCCACCCGTACCGCAGTAGACTCTGTACAAAGTAAAGATGACAAAGGTAGCGCTGCTGCTACGGCACCAGCTGTTGAAGCCATGGAAACAGCAGCTCCAGTTGCTGCGATGACAGATCTAGCCACCACTGCCCCTGAAAGTATGCCCGACACTACTGCCAAAACGAAAAAATCTAAGAAAGCTAGAAAGAACAAGAAAAAGAAGGCTGCCGATTCGGAGGGTGATTTCGCCTATGAAATTTTGAATGGTCTGCTGGATTTTTTCAACTGAGCTTGCAAAGTGAATTTGCAAGCATGCTTGGTAATAGTGTAAATACTTTATATGCGAATTGAGTACGAAGCGTGGACGTGAATTTTAGTTTTAAGTTTTTGACACACAAAAAAGAATGAAATGAAATTATTTAATTATTTATTGAAAGTAAAAGAAAAAGTGTTAATTTATTTCAATTTAAATTAAGAAAATTGAATTGTAAATTAATTTAATTTATTTATTTATTAAAAGAAAAATAAAACAAAATTTTAAATATTTCTATAGTCTTATAACGGTTTCTACAAAAAGAGACAATTTCTGTTAAAGAGAGAGGGTTTTGAAAATTTATTAAAAAGAGAAATTTTCCAAAAATTTTCTATAAAAAGAGCAATATTCCTAAAATTTTCTATTAAAAGAGAAATTTTCCTAAAATGTTCAATAAAAAAAGAAATTTTCCTAAAATGTTCTATAAAAAAAGAAATTTTCCGAAAATTTTCTATGAAAAAAGAAATTTTCCGAAAATTTTCTATGAAAAAAGAAATTTTCCGAAAATTTTCTATGAAAATAGAAATTTTCCAAAAATTTTCAATGAAAAGAGAAATTTTCAGAAAATTGTTTATAAAAACGAGAAATTTTCCGAAAATTTTCAATAAAAAAGATAAAATTTCCGAAAATTTTCTATAATAAAGAGACATTTTTCGAAAATTTTCTATAAAAAAGAGACATTTTTCAAAAATTTTCTATTAAAAAAATATAAGTTTTCCCAAAATTGTTTATAAAAAAAAAATAAATTTTCAATAAAAATTAAAAATTTTAAATAAAAATTAAAAATTTTAAATAAAAATGAAAAATGTTGCCAAAATTTTCTATAAAAAAGAGACATTTTTCGAAAATTTTCTATAAAAATGAGAAATATTCCGAAAATTTTCTATAAAAAAGAAAAATTTTCAAAACATTTTCTATAAAAAACAAACGATTTCGGAAATTTTCTATAAAAAAGAAAAAAACTTCCCTAAACTTTCTATAAAAAAGAAAAATTTTCCCAAAATTTTCCAAAAATTTTCTATAAAAAAGAGAAATTTTCCGAAAATTTTCTATAAAAAGAGAATATTTTCAAAAATTGTTTATAAAAAGAGAATTTTTCCGAAAATTTTCCATAAAAAGATGTTTTTTTTCTGAAAGTTTTCCATAAAAAGAGAAATTTCCGAAATTTTTCAATAAAAAAGAGAAAGTTCAGAAAAAAATGTTTATAAAATGAGATATTTTACCAAAATTATCTATATAAAGAGATATTTTGTGAAAATTTTTATAAAAATAGTATAATTCCTAAAAATTTGGAAAATTTTCTATAAAAGAAATAATTTCAAAAGTTTTCTACAAAGAAACAATTTCAAATTATTTCTATAAAATCAAAATCAAAAATCATCTATAAAACTTTTTAATCCAACCACATTCTTAAATTTATCCGCGTTTTAAATTATGCTACACATTTTTGTTATTATTAATACAAATTATCTTGGCCATAAATTTTAGTCTCGTTTGTTTGTTTCTATTAATCTTTTTTTGCATATATTCTCATACATTTTCAGTTATTTTGTTGTTGACGTTATATTTTAAAATTTATTCAAACTCACTTGGCACTTTGTTAATCTACATACAAATGATGTGTACTAGGGATGCCAATCCCGAAATCCTGATCCCGAAAATCCCGGGATTTTTCGGGATTGGCAAATCCCGAATCCCGGGATTTGGAAAATAAATCCCGGGATTTTTTCGGGATTAGGATTTGTTTCAAAAAACTGTTTTTATTTTCTTTTTTGAGCCATAATTTTCATTAATTTGAAAATTACGATCTTATTTTATTTTTGACTCATGCAAAACAAAATTCCGCAGAGCTAATTTTATACATATTTGAACCTTTTATTTTTTAAAGTGGTATGAGTCCATACACATAGCACATATAAATTTATTTATTCACTTCGTTTTTATACCTTACACCACTTTAGTGGGGAGGGTATATTGGGTTTGTGCTGATGTTTGTTACACACAATAATATTGGTCATATACCTTAAAGTATACCAATCGGCTCAGAATCATTTTCTGAGTCGATTTAGCTATGTCCGTCCGTCTGTCCGTCCGTCCGTGTAAACCTTGTAATCAAACTACAATCTTCTATTGTACTAGAGACGGATCCTATTGAAAATGCATAACATCGGTCCAATATTTGACCTAGCCCCCATACAACTGAACCCCCCAAATAGGGTTTTTAAGTTCATAATTATGTTCAATATACTCGTAACTCGACAAAAAGCTGCAAAACCAAGTTCTATACTAGCCTTCATGACCCTGATGTATTTTTTGATGATGCGGCCTCATTTGACCCTAGCCCCTATGCAAAGCCCCCTTCGAAATATGACTTAAATGTACACAATTTTATTCAACAAAAAATAGCTAAATTATATCTGAGGCAAGGTACAATTCAACTTAGATGCTTTATTATGAACAATAAATCACATTTTATTTTTATAACTGGTGTAGGGTATGGTAGGCTTCGCCCAACTATAACTTTTTACTTGTTAGCACATTGCAATGTTGGTCGTAGACCGACCCAAAAAGTATACACATTCTGTGTCTGTAAGCTGAAAACACGAGTTAGAAGACTCATTCTATTTGGGCTGCAAATTTGGAACAAAATTGACACAAAAAACCTAATTGGACCTCCTCTGAAAATCACATTGATGCTGATATTAATATCAATACATTACAATATTTTGATGGTGGGTATTTAATTTCGGCACAGTCGAATACAAACTTTATTTTTCAATACTAGAGGATTTTACATTTCTAACTTTCTACAAATCTGAATGATACCGGTAAAGGTAAATTACCTTGTTCTGAATGCACCTAAAATTGTAAATTAATACTACGAATATAATAATATGTTCCAAAACTAATATGTATTTTGAGTAAAATTCCAAATATTTTTCAAAGAATAGGTTCTAAATTGATGTTCGAATAATTGAATTGGTATCTGTTATAATTATTAGTTCACATGGAACAGTATGAGGTTTTAAAAAGTGCTTATGTCTAATTTCGGAACTTGATATTTATTTTTATTTAGGAAGTAAGTATGTATTTAAAAAGTTTCAGAAATTATTCAATTCTGAAAGTTTTTATTTAAAAATTGGAATTAATTGGATTGTTTTAATTTAAATATATCTTCTGTCTGTTAAATTTCCACAAAATTAAACAATTTTCTTTACAAATATGATGATTTAAAGATTTTCATATATAAAATAATTAAATTCATGTAATCCCGAAATCCCGTAAAATCCCGAAATACCGAAAAATCCCGGGATCCCGAAAAATCCCGGGATCCCGAAATATCCCGGGATCCCGGGATTGCAATTTTCAAAATCCCGAATCCCGGGATTTGTAAAAGCCAGTCCCGTTTGGCATCCCTAATGTGTACAAAAAAAGTACAACAAAAAATAAACAAAATTTCATGCAATAAAACTACATGATTTTAGAGGAATAATAATTTTTGTACAAAACATTAGAGACAACAACATAGAATGGCAAAAAGTGAAAAAAAAAAGATTATTATTAATGATCCTGCTGCTGCTGGTTTTTCATTTATGCATATAGACTCACAGTAATTGTCAAGCAGGAGTAAAATATTTGTTGCTTAACTGTGTTTGTGTTTGTTGATGTGATGGTTGTAGGTGTTATTTTGCATTTCACACGAATTATTATGTAAAAAAGTATATAAGCAAAACAACAGTACAATGACAAAGGAATATAGAAAACCATGGGGGAGGTGAACAGTTATTTAACAAAACAAAATTCATTATAAATTGCATTATAAAACAAATTTCCGATTTTATTGTAAAATTTAATGCGGAGTTTTAGTAGAAGATAATAATTATTTTTTAAAGATTATTTATTAAGTTTTTTTGTTAAAATTTGAGGTATACCTTTAGGAGAATCTATATATGTATGTAATTATCATAGACTTTGCTACTTTGGTATTAAATTAGTATAATTTTTTTATAACAAAAAAACTTTTTTTACAATTTTCTAAAAATAAGAAATTTCAAAAAATTAATATTAAACATTTAATGTTTCAAAAGATTTTCTATAAAATAAGAAAATTTCAAAAATTTAATAAAAATAATTTTTTGAAAATTTTTTATACAAAAGAGAAATTTCCGAAAGAAAAATTAAAATTTTTAAAATTTTACGAAAATTTTAGGAGAAATTTCTTAAAGTTATCTATAAAAACAGAAAATTTTCTATAAAAAAAGGAAATTTCCAAAATTTTTCTATAAAAAAGTAAAATTTTTATAAAAATGTTTCAAAGTTTTCTATAAATGAGAAAATTTTCTACAATAGAGAATTTTCTCGAGATTTTTCTATATACACAGATGTGTTCCAAAAATTTGTCAATAGAAAAAATAAAATTTCTGAAATTTTCAAGAGAAATTTCCTAAAGTTATCTATAAAAACAGAAATTTTTCAAAAATTTTCTATAAAAAAGAGAAATTTCCAAAATTTTTTTATAAAAAAGAAATTTCCGAAAATTTACTGTAAAAATAGAAATTTTCCAACATTTTTTAATAAATAGGGGAATTTCCGAAAAATTTTCTTTAAATTAGAGGAATTTTTCGAAAGTTTTCTATAAAAAGAAGCTTTTGTAAAAAAATTAAATTAACCGATAATTTTCTATAAAAAGTGAAAATTTTCTATTAAAACACAATTTTATATAATAGAAAATTTCCAAACTTTTCTATAAAAAGTGATATTTCCTAAAGTTTTCTATAAAAATTTTCCGATAATTTTCTATAAAAAAGAGAAAGTCCCGAAATTTTTTTCTATAAAAAAGAAAAAATTCCGAAAATTTTCTATAAAAAGAGAAGTTTCCCTAAAATTTTCTATAAAAAGAGAAGTTTTCCGAAAATTTTCTATAAAAAGACAATTTTTCCTATAATTTTTTATAATTCTTCCTCAAATCTTCCGATAATTTTCTATAAAAAGAGAAATTTTCCGATAATTTTCTATAAAAAGAGAAATTTTCCGAAAATTTTCTATAAAAAGAGAAATTTTCCGAAAATTTTCTATAAAAAGAGAAATTTTCCGAAAATTTTCTATAAAAAGAGAAATTTTCCGAAAATTTTCTATAAAAAGAGAAATTTTCCGAAAATTTTCTATAAAAAGAGAAATTTTCCGAAAATTTATATAAAATTTATATAAAATTT